AAAAACCCTTCTATCTTTATGGTCATGGATTCAAGAATGAGAATTTTACATTTGTTGTGTAAAATTTATATCACATAATTGGTGGAAGGAACTCTATAATTTCATTCTTAGTTTTGTCAGCTCTGATGGCCCTAAATTACTAATCTTAAGAAGTGCTTTTGTAGGAAGACTCATAGGTCAGCTTTACCGATCTTAATTTTAATATGAATTTGCTGTGTTCCAAATATAAAGCTTAAGCAAATAATGTAGGTGAGTGATACTATCAGAAGTGTATCTTCCCCTTTGAGTACCTTGTTTTTAATGACGTAAGTTGTGCCAGTGTTTTGCCAACATGACCAAGATTTAGAATGAATGCAATGCAAGTCTCAGATGCAGTGAAATGTTAACATGAAGTTGGGCATCAGACTCTTTGAAAACCAAGAACTTACCATCCGATATTTTGTGTTCACAGTTGAGCAAATCTTTGCAGATTCGTGCTGGGTTATCTCGTGTGCCAAGAGGATTCCTGATGCGGTGCAATAAATTGCTAAGGTTGTTCAGGGTTTTGAATATCTCTGCACTGTGGTCAATTAAAGTCACTTCAGTATTCTGGTACCTCTGCCAAGTCATCATAAGAATCAAATAAGGAATAAAATCCTAATAACCATCATGAATCAGGACAGAAGGAAAAAATGTTCCTAGTTGTGTATAGTTAGAGCAGAGTATAAAGAATATTTTATATTTAAGCATAGGCATGTGAACATACTTTATTAATTTGACCCTCAAGAAGAGATAAGTTCATATTGGTAAGATTAATTTTCAAGCTGATATAAGACTTAACTACTGTGCTTTAGTTTAACACTTTTAAAATTACACATTTAATAGAGTTTCAATAAAATTAATAGTGATAAGAGATCAAATCTAAAGAATGATTTTTTTAAGAAAAAACTTTCTTTTAACTATTTTCTTTAACATTACCAATTTCTTATAAATAAGTCACTTAATAATGATACAGTCTTGTTTTAAACATTTTCTTTATGAAATGTCCTATGCATATTTGCTCTTTAAAAATGGCTTCATATTTTCAATCTGTTTTAAATCTTTGAGATAATGCCACATTTTGGCCTTTGAAAATTCTTCAGTTTAATTTGTGTTATATTGCAATTGCCAATATAAATAAAGCCAGATATATTACCTCCATCTGTAGGGCAGTATTTGATTCAATCAAGGCTTGAATAGCAGCATTGATATCCATTTGTTTCTGTGTAAAACAAAACCATTTGAGATCAGCAATAAGATCAACACTGAGTGTTCTGAAGTAAAGATTGTAAATTCTGAAAGCACCGCTGTTAAAGTATACTGGGCTTATCTAAAAGAGGATTGCAACTCTGAAGGCTAGACAAATCTTGCAAATATTGCCTGGTTATCTGAAAGGAACATATGCTGCCCCATCTAAATCTCAGAAAGTCTGTTAATTAAAATAGGATCAAAGTTTAGCGTCCTCAAATGAAAAACTATTTGTGCCTGTCACAGAAAGACACACACACCATTATTCATTATGGAAGAGGAATGAAATATGATCCTCTCACTTAATAAATTGTAAAGTGAAGAATAAATAAATGTAGTAATTTTTAACAGTTACATTCTTGGAAGGAAAACAGAATAAAATACTACTGTCCTGAGGTAGTCACCGCATTAGTTTAATCTGATACGTCTGTGGTCTTAAAAACAATTTCTGAAGTTGGAAAATGTACCATTAGTCCCAAAAGAAATAATGCAGCATGAATCCAATCTGTTCCTGCATTTAATAAAAGATATTTTTAGAGAAAAACTCAGTATAACCATTGGTAAAAGTCTTTTTGTAATTTTTTTTTTTTTTGAATAAGCTTGGAAACTAAGAAGCATGAGTTGGGAGAAGGTTCTGGGAAATGAAGACAAGGTTCTGTGTAAGTAAATGAAGCAATTTAATTTCTTTCAGAATGATCGTACTGCTAAGGTATCTTTTCATGTGGATGTCCACACAACTGAAACTGTTTTCAGCAGATCTTTCATAACTCATAGCGGGTAATCTAAAAAACTATTTAAAGTGATGGGACAATCAATAAAAGGTACTCTCTCCTACCTCAACATGTGTTTTCCATATTGGAAAAAAAATCAACTCATTCTGAATACATATATACGGGCAAATACTATGATATATATTTAGGATAAAATGTACTTGTAAATCTTAAGTTTAGAGGGGACATAGGTATTAATTAAATTACCCCTAAATGCATTGTAATATGTAAAATGAAAGAAAAATGAGTGTACATATGAGAACAATTAGGGAGCCAATCAAATCTGGAGTATGTAACAGACTGGAAGGGATAAATCAGGGACAAGTTTCCTGAGATAGTAAAGCATAAATAAGAATTGTTAGGGGGAAATGGTAAGAGAGCTTTTTAGGCAGATGTAACAACCATGCAAAAAGGCCATGAGACTTATTCATGAAGCAGAAAGGTTTGACCCAAAACGTTCTCTGAAAATTAAGTAGTTCTCATCATCTTGCTTGTGGAAATGGGAAAATTTTGGATAGGGGCCATACAAAAATGTTGGCACTACGTATGGAAACCTGCGTGGAGCACTAAACAACAGTCGCTTTCATATTTCTGCTTAGTCTCTTCTTGGTTATGAAGAGCATTAATTACAACATCTGGCCCAGTAGTTCTCTTACTCAGTTAGAATGTTTTGCACTTTTAAATATTATTAAACAAAAAAAAAATTATTAAACACCTTAAAGAACTTTTGCTTTGTGAGTTATGATATTTGCTATTTACAATAGTAGAAATATAAATGTCAAATTTAAAACTATGTGACTTGCTGAAAATAACAATTAGTCCATTATATATTGATATAAATAAAATACTTTTTTTTTTTTTTTTTTTTTTTTTTTGGCAGAACCAGGGATTGAACTCAGGCCCCTGCTCTTGCCAGGGAAGTGCTTATTCCACTGAGCCATCTCCCTGGCCCCAATACTTTGATAAAAATATTTTTCAAAAAATAGTAAGAAAGGTGGTTTTACACCTTTATATATCTATTTAATATTCTAATTGATAGCTAAATTCTCAAATTTACTTCTCTACTAAAGCAATTAAGATATGTTACCTCATTTTTTAAAAAAGTGCTTAGATTAAGCCTAAAGCCTTCTACATGTTAGGCAAGGGCTCTGATATATTATTTTAGCTGAAATATATGAAGAAAGTCTCACTTCCTAGAGATAAGCAGTTAAGCCTTTTCGGATAACAGATATCCCTTGATAACTGTGGCAAAGCTTGAGAAATGGAAAGTGTTTTTTTTACTTGTGCTGGAGATTGAGCCCATGGTGTTGTGAATGCTATATGGGCATTCTACCACTAAAGTACAACCAACAATCAATAATTTCTTATTGGAAGAGCATAAACTGGGTTCTACAAATACATTCCATAGTTTTCTAATGTAAATTTTTACATTAGCATGATAGTACCAACTAAGTATCTTTGTCTGAGTGATACATGAAGCAATATTGGTGGTTTCCCACTTAGTATAATGAAAGGTAAGGTGTGTTCACATGTGCAAAAATGTCAAACCAGGATTTTCACTGACATGGTGCTCCCACTAACAAATTTGGCAGATATTTATCTGAGCATCACAGAGAGTGTAATACACTCAAGCCACTCTATGGTTTGTTTAAAAAGGTTTTCATTTTTTTCTGGTAGAAGTAGCCTAATTCAGTACAATGGCACATGAAATACCTGATTTGCAAGTTTGGGAGGTCAAAAGTGAATTATCAGATTATTTATGCATGGGTGATTCATTTATCCCTTCACATATGAAGGGATTATCACATATGTAAAATACACATATGTAAAATATGTGTTTTCCTAACAGAAGAGCAGTGTGGGTGGATGATGATGATGATGATGACTCTGACACTGGCTATGGGAGCTGAAGTTCCTGTGATAGTGAAATGGAGCAAAAATTGACTAATCCAGACACAGGGAATGCTGATCTCCTTGACTTAGATGATGAAGAAAATAGAAATGTGAGAATATATCTGACTAGTTAAACTATTGTAAAATAGTCACACAACAAAATGGAATGATCCAATGTTAGAACTTAGAAAATATAGTGAAGTTCTAGGCTGGGTGAAACATATTGGGCAATATGTCGGCATTGCCATTCAGTGTTTGAAGTTATAATAGACAAGATGCTACAAGATGTTGTGAAATACACAAAAGCTGAAGTACCAATAAAACATTCTGTATGTACCAGAAGCCATATTCAAAATGTATTTCTTATGACATCGCATTAGTCGAACTGAAAGCACCTTTATAGGTCTGACATACTTAGCAGGGGTTTTTCATGGTAATTGTAGGAATGTAAAAGACATGGGAACATGATGGGTCAAAATGTGAACAATTATGCTTTCAGTTTAGAACTATATCCTGTAACTCAGCCATCAGATTCTCATTTTACAGTAATATATCGAATGATATGAACAGACTTGTTGCTCCTGTCTCAAAAACTAATCAGAGTTTGACATTTGCTTTCACAGTTGCCATTTGATCTTACAGTTGTTCAACTTGTAATTGATCAGTGCAGGAACTGTACACAGGAACAAAACAGAAATTCCAAATGAAAGGTTGCAATTCCAAAACAGAGAAGTGTATCGTATAATCTCTGAATTTCAAAAAGATTTACAGTGCCCTTATA